GCTGCCAAATTGCATAGACTCAAGCAGTGTCATCTATCAGCGTACGTGAACTGCAATCAGGAAGAGGTGTAGAGTTTGCCACATAGCAATTATTGTTGCGTGCAGAATCTTCACAATAAATTCACGAGGTCTGGAGTATCTCAGCTGTGCATGAATCCCCCGCGTACACCTGTCACAGAGCTGTTAGAGATGGGCGGGTGCGACAAGTTATACAGCATATGCCCAACCTTCTGTTTGTCGTGCACTTCGCATCTGTTGAATTTTAGGGCACCGTTCCCATTTTTTTGCCAAACTCGGTTTCAGTGTACAGAGTGTACTCAAGGGTCACCGCGCGCTGTAGCACGATTCTGTTTGGTGCGTTACGTTCCAGAACGGTAACGAGGCAGAAAGAACCACGATGGAACGTGGGACGACCGTTACTCTCAATGGGGGCACCCACCTGCCTTGGGTGCTGGTCCGCTGTGTGTGAACCCACTTGACCGTTGAAACAATGCAACGAACCTACTGGAAGCGCATACATAATCTTTCACCATCGCATGATCACATCTCATCATCGCATTCGCATAAAGGGGTGTCCGAAGTGAAACGTCGACATCCGCTGACATCCGTTTGGAGATGTCGATGAAAATCAGCCATCGGATCGGGGATTCCGACCGTCAGGATTCGTCGACATCCGCCGACATCCATCGACGTTTCACGTCGGACACGCCCTAACTCTGACACATCTCGGTACGTTTTCCTGCTTCCATTCATCCCAAACCAAGCAACAAGTGGTTGAAATAGCATTAGAGCAGGTCGGGGGTTCGCATCAACTAACCTCTTCACCGTACTGAAACCCGAATTGTTCACCATGCATTTGATGAAACCGCGTTGAATTCAGTGAAAAGTACTGTGAAGGTGATCTCGATCCCCGATTCCATCAAAGAGAACCACGTGGTAAGAAGGAAGGTGAGAGGCATAGTACAGATACTGCCGTGTTGACACACAAACCGAGTGAGCCCTGGTAGGAAGGAGGAGAAGATCATACACCCTCTTTCGCGCTAGTAGAACACCTGGTTGCAGAACATACACGGGTTGTAGAACGTCACCACGTTCAGAATGGTCTTGTCACCTACTGTACAAGCACAATGCGAAGAATGCGGTTAGGTGAGGTGATGAACTTTACAAATAGCGCTGTCAACGTTCTCATTAGGTTGGGAAGGGTATACAGCGATTACGGATATTTTACAACCTTGAGCCAGTTTGTCACGTGGTTCGGCTTTCCCCCCAGGTTGCTTTGAACGTTTAATGGCACCAGATCGCAAGAGACAAGTACTGTAGCGACGAGTCGCGCAAGGTGAAAAGGTTGTAAAAAAGGGTGTACAGGGGCCGAAAAGTGCCAGGAAGGTGATCAAACTAGGGCCAAGAGGCCCGGAACTAACCAAACCACTTCGCAACAAGTTATTTGCAGAGGGTTATCATTTATTGAACGTATGTCTGTTAACAGTTTCCATTTCGGCTCGCGCGTCATTATTCATGGAAATATTTACTGATTCATCACCTTCCAACCAATAGGGTCGTTTAGCAAGCCAGAAACTCTTAGGGCAGCCAGAAAAACTAAAACCCCAAGGGGAACCTTGATGCATTTTCAGGATGGATCAACCCTAAAACAGGGAACCTTCGTTGTGTTTAGGGTTGATGCCTCCCTAGTCGCATCCATTTCCGAATGGGTATTTTTTTCCTGCGCATTTTCGATCATGAAGTGATATTTATTACTTATAATAAATATATTTTTTGACTCACAAATTAATACAGCAATATTTACTTCCAGAAGAACGCGATGTGCGTGTAGTAGTAGACGGCGGTCGTAACCATTTTTCAATAAGTTAGACACGAAGTTTGGTGCTGGTAGCATTTTTCTTTTATTCACGGTTCGGCTTGTTCGCCTAGCCTCTTGGGCAGCTCGGGCTCAAAATCTTACGGTCGAGATTTTCAAGCCCTACTTCGGTCATCCCTCTGGCACTCTTCGGCCTCAGTTTGATCATTTCCCGTAGGAAGGAAGTAGCGAAAGGATCATAGAGGGGCCGAACAGTGCCAGAGAGTTAATCGACCAAGGGCCGAGAGGCCGGGAACTAACCAAACCACTACGCAAAAATGTATTTGCAGCGAGTCATTGTTTTTTGCACGTATTGTTGTTAACACTTCGCATTTTCGCTCGCGTGTCGTTTTGTTCCGTCCACCCCTATCCAGAAGTGGCCTAGTTAGTAGAAAGAGGCACTTCCGAACCCATCCCCGTGCAGGGGTGTTCTGCCAGCCCCCAAGAGGGGGTTCGTGTCAGAATGTTATAATTGTCTAGCCTGTAGTGGGGTACTCTATAGCGAGTACAACCCAATTAGGGTTTTTCTATATGTATGCCAACTGCTGCTAGTGCAACCTCTCTCTTCTTCATTACTCTTCTCACATACTATCAGAGCATCTACGCTCCTGGCCTGTGGGCCCACCTAACTGCTTCCGCTGCTACTCTGTGTTTTGCACGCCCAGTGGCGTGCGACGGACTTTTTTCTTCCCCTCCTAAAGGCCCCTCTCACGGCCTCTCGCGCGACCCTTAGCGGCCCCGTCGCCACCCCTAGCGGCCCCGTCGCCGCCCTTCTCGGCCCCTCGAGGCCCCTTCGCGGCCCCGGCACCGCCCTTCCAGGCCCCTTGTGGCCCCTTCGCGGCCCCGACGCCGCCCCTATCGGCCCCGTCGCCGCCGCCAGCGGCCCCGTCACCGACCCTAGCGGCCCCGTCGCCGCCCCTATCGGCCCCGCGCCGCCACCAGCGGCCCCGTCGCCGCCCCTAGCGGCCCCGTCGCCGCCCCTATCGGCCCCGTCGCCACCTCCAGCGGCCCCGTCGCCGCCACTTGCGGCCCCGTCGCCGCCCCTTTTGGCCCTGCCTCGACCCTGCCCCGGCCCCGCCCCGGCCATGCTCCGTCGCCTGTCGCGGCGCACCGAAGGCCCGTGCTCCGCCCCCCCCCCCCTCTTTTCCCGTCGCCTGTCGAGGCGACCTGAGGGGGCCGACCTGGGAGGGGGGGCGAGCGTCGCCCCTTCTGTCGCCTGTTTTGGCGCCCTGGGAGGCCGCGCGTCGGCCCCCCGTCACCCCCCCCCCCCGTAACCTCCCTACCCGCCGTCCCGCCCTGCCCTGTGTTAGGGTCTGGGGGTGGCGAGTAGGGGGTGGCGGGTGTGTGGTCACCCCTGCTCCTCCTCCTCTTCTGTCTCCCACTGCTGCAGCTGCCGCTGAGGGGGGTGGGTGTGTGGGAGTCGACGGAGTGGTGCTAGGGGGTGGGGTGTGAGTGAACCTAGGGTGCAGCAGGGGGTGTGTGAAAGGGGGGTGCCGTGGGAGTGGAACTAGGGTTTGAGCGGGGGGTGTGTGTCTAGGGGTGTGGGGCAGCTCGAGGAGGCTGTGTGAAGGTAGCTGTCGTGTCGCCTGCAGCGCCTGTAGTCCGTCGCCCTTGCTTCGGTAGCCAGTGAGCCTGTTGCACCAGTCGCTAGTGGGTCCGTTGCTCCTGCCGCTCGTCTATAGCCGCGGAGCCAGTTACGCCAGTAGTCCGTCGCCCTTGCTTCGGTAGCCACTGAGTCAGCCGCTCCTGTGCCCGTACCTCTGCAGCTTCAGTCGTTGCCTCCCATCTTCTCTCCTTCCACAGTTCCTCCTTCTCCTCACTTGCCCGCTGTGATTAACTCTAGCTTTGCTCGCTATTGTGGACTCCTGCTCTATGCCTTCTTGCTCATTGTGCTGATTACACCCCACTTTGGCTATGGGGGTGTGTCAGAATGTTATGATTGTCTAGCGTTCAGTGGGGTACTCTGTAGCGAGTACAACCCAATTAGGGTTTTCCTATATGTATGCCAACTGCTGCTTGTGCAACCTCTCTCTTCTTCATTCCTCATTTCTTCACAGTTCGTACGTGTTCATCTAGGAACTGGATACCCCCAATTGGTTACGATCAATATATAACTTTAACTTTATCATGACCTTCCACCCAATAGCGTCGTTTAGCGAGCCAGAAACTCTTAGGGCAGCCAAAAAAACTAAAACCCCTAGAGAACCAGGATTCATTTTCGGGATGGATCAACCCTAAAAACAAATATTCTTGGCGTTTAGGGTTGATGCCTTCCGATTCGCACCCATATCCAAACGGTTTTTTTTTTGTTCTTCGCGTTTCCAACAGGAAGGTTATACGTATCACCCATAATATATTATGTCTCTTTGGACTCACAGTTCAACACTTTCAGAAGAATACGACGCACGTGTTGTAGTAGATGCCAGCTGTTAACTTATCATACGAAACTCGGGGCTTTAAGCAATTACTCGTGTTTCATGGTTCGGCTTGTTCGCCTAACCGCCTGGGCAGGTCGGGGCTTATACCCTACGGTCTGGGCTCTCTGGTACTCTTCGACCCCAATTTGATCATTTCCCAAGGAAGTACATTACATATCAAAAGCACGAGGCGACGTGGCTAGCTTCCTGCAATCCCACCTTGCAGCGTTCGTTCCGTCGTTCGCTCGTGTAGTTGGTTCGTTTGTTGGTTTGTTCGCGCCTCCCAACGTTTGTTTACGCGGTATTGTGATTGCACCTGCTCTCGTATCGTTGATTGACCTAGTCGCACCCGTTGCTACTTTCCGATTCGTCGCACATTGTTCGCACTTAGTTCGCCCATTGTTCGCCCAATATTCGCACATCCCCCACATTGTTCGACAGCTCCCTAATCGCATGCTTATCAAAACGGACAAACCAAACGATGGAAGGCTTAACTTAACTCGAAAGCTGCCAGCCTCTTAACCGCGTGTCGTGTCGCGCTGTTCGTCGTCGCGCCGCCGTTGGCGCGGCTCACGATTCAACCGTTGACGGAGACTACGCGTCTCTGCAAGTGTGGTTCCCCACCTCCCTCCCTCCCCCTCCCCTTCCCCTCCCCTTCCCCCCTCCCCCTCCCCTCTTCTTCCCCCTCCCTTCCGCTTTCCCTTCCCCGCGAAATACGGAGAGCCATCATGAGCGAGTCCGCGGTTCTTGCGCGCGACGCCCATCCCTCCCTCACCTGCATGCCGCGCCTCCCCTGCATTTCCCCCGCTTCCGCTTCCGCCAAGCATGCCGCCGCCGCGCCCCTCCTTTCCCCCGAAGGCCGCGGCGGGCAACCCGAATCGAGCGCGACGGAAGAGGGGAAGAGCGCAGAAGCGCAGCGCGCGTGCCGCGTGAGCGTGGCGGTTCTGGCGGTGAAAGACTTGAAGGATGGGGCGATTAAGGACGTCACCGACGCGGCGCGGCAGGCTGCTAATCTTCTGCAAGTGCCGACTATGGCGCTGATTAAAGTGGAAAACTCTCACTTTTGCACCAAGGAGATCAAGGGGAAGTCGGCGGAGGGTAAGGGGAAGGCGGGGGAGAAGGGGGGAAAAAAGGGCAAGGGGGGGGATGGAAAAGGGGGAGCGGCGGACGGGGAAGCGCAAGCGGAAGCTCAGACGGTTGAAGCGCAAGCGGAAACGCAGGGGGAAGCGCTTTCGGGGGAAGCGCAATCCGCGGAAGGGCTGATAGAAGTCAACCAGGGGCACGCGTTCACCGTGAAAGGCGAAACCACCGCGACCGTGTCCGTCGCGCTCGTACACTGCGCGCTGGGGCGCGGCGCGGTGGCCATCGGGCTGAAGCAGGTGGTCGGCGCCATCGAGCCGCTCTCCGTCGCGTCGCTTCTCGAGCTCGATCCGGATAAGGCGGTCGAGCCGCAGTGGTACGACCTCCGCGCGCCGACGGGGAAGAAGGGCGCGATCGTGGGGAGGATTCTGCTGCAGGCGGTGGCGGCGCGCGCGCCTCCGGAGCAGCACGTGTCGCTTTTCATTGGCTCCTGGAACGTGGGAAACGCGCCGCCCGCGGCGGATCTCTCCCCGTGGCTCCCCGTGGGCGGCAGACACGATCTGATCGCGATCGGATCCCAGGAGTGCGATTATCCGCCGCGCGCGGGGCATGCCACGTGTATGGACGACTGGGTGGCCTGTATCCGGACGCATTTCGGCCCTAGATACCGCCTAGTAAAGGGCGCTTCGAGAGGGCAGATGCGACTCGTCGTTCTCGTCCTAGACTCCTCCCAAAGAGCCGTTACAGACGTAATGGTAACCAGCGAAGCAACGGGAATCGGGCATGTGATAGCGAACAAGGGCGCCGTGTGCGTATCTCTAAGATTCTGGGACACTCCGTTGTGTTTCATTAACTCGCATCTGGCGGCGCACGAGGGGCAGTGCGGCGCAAGGAACGACAACTACCGCGAGGTGGTTCAGAACATGAGACCAGGGCTTTCAAGTGTGGACCTCTTGAACCAGTTCCACCATCTCTTCTGGATGGGCGATTTGAACTACCGCCTGACGCTTCTAGATTCTTCCCACGCGTCTGCTGGTGGTAATGGTAATGGCGGTGGTGGTGGGGCAACGTTGGCGCTGCCCTCAGCTGTGTCTTTCCCGGCTTCTGCTGCTGCCGCTGCCGGTGCTGCCGGTGCGGCCGCTGGTGCTGCCGGTGCTGCTGTTGCCGCTGGTGCTGGCGCTGCTGCTGGCGCCGTTGCTGCTGGCGCTGGTGCTGCAGCTGGTGCTGTTGCTGCTGGTGCCGGCGCTGCTGTTGCGGCTGCTACTGCTTCGTACCGCGCCATTGCTGCTGCTGCTTCCGGTGGTGCTTCGCGTGCCGGCCCTGCTTTCAGTGGGAGAGCTCTCGACCAATTAGACGATGACAGCTCAGAGGACGAAGAAGATTCCAGCAGTGGTAATGATGACGACGAGGCTGGGGTGGAGGCTCGGGAGGCTCGGGAGGGTCAGGAGGCTCGGGAGGCTCAGAAGGCTCGGGAGGCACAGGAGGCTCGGGAGGCTGACAGTGTTGATGCCGAACCTCAGAAGGAGGCTCGGAAGAGGGGTACCATCGGGAGCTCAGGGGAGATGTTAAAAGGCTTCCTAAAGTCAACAAGGGGCAGCTTCAACACAATTCTTGATCTGGGCAGCTCGAAAAAATCTTTTTCTCCGGGCAGCAGCACAAAAGCTAACGGGAAAATGCCTCCCCCGAACAGCCCCAGTAAAGAGGAAGAAAATAACGCGGGAATGAGCGGGAAAGGAGGGGGGGCCAAGCCGGGCGTGAGTCGCATGAGTGAGAACACAAGTGGGAGTGACGTGGCACTGGGGCGAGAAGCAGGCGATGTGATTGGTGCAAGCTTCCAGGGCTCCCCTGAGGGGGAGCAAGGGGGCGGAATGGGCGCGGGGACAGGGGCGGGGGGAAAGGGGATTGAACCGAGGGAGGGCCAGGCTGGGGAGGAGAGGAACGGTGGGTCGGCTCGGCAACCGCTGAGCCCGATGCTGGGAGGAGGAGGAGAGGGAGGAGAGGGGATGAGAGAGGAAGGAGGGGCGCGGACACCTGGGGAAGGGGGGGCGACGCCTGGGGAAGGGGGGGAAGGCGGGGGGGATTCGACCCCGAGAGAGGGGCACAAACGAGTGTTGAGTGCGGGGAGCCTGGCTATCTTTCGAGGGGGATCAGGCCAGGAGAAGGGCAGCAAGGCGTTGCCGTCGCTGACATCAAAGAAATCCCTGGAGAAACAAGCGTGAGTGTTGGCAAAGGGAAGAGCTAATGGGAGGGCAAAGGGAAGGGCAAAGGGAAGGGCAAAGGGAAGGGTAAAGGGAAGGGCAAAGGGAAGAGCAAAGGGAAGGGCAAAGGGAAGGGCAAAGGGAAGGGCAAAGGGAAGGGCAAAGGGAAGGGTAAAGGGAAGGGCAAAGTGAAGAGCAAAGGGAAGGGCAAAGGGAAGGGCAAAGGGAAGGGCAAAGGGAAGGGCAAAGGGAAGGGCAAAGGGAAGGGCAAAGGGAAGGGCAAAGGAAAGGGCAAAGGAAAGGGCAAAGGAAAGGGCAAAGGAAAGGGCAAAGGGAAGGGCAAAGGGAAGGGTAAAGGGAAGGGTAACGGGAAGGGTTAAGGGAAGGGTAAAGGGGTGGGTAAAGGGAAGGGTAAAGGGAAGGGCAAAAGGGATGGTAAAGAGACAGTGGGGGCAGAGGGGCACAAACGCGTGCTGGGCGCAACTTTGTTCCGCGGTGGGGAAAGTCACGAGAAGGGCAGCAAGGCGACATCTGCACCATCGTTCTCGTGAAAGAAATCACTGGAGAAGCAAGCGTGAGTGTGAAGGGGTGGAGGGGAGGGTGGGGTTGAGTTAGGGGAGGAAATGGGGAGAGGAGGGCAAGGGGAAGTGACTGGGTTCCCCGTGGGTGGGCAACAGTTCATTGGAGAAACAAGCGTGAGTGCGCAGGGGGATGGGTAGAGAGTGGTGAGAGAAGGGCAAAGGGGCACAAACACTTGCTGAGTGCGAGGAGCCTGGCGTTGTTCCAAAGAGGGGGGAGCCAGGAGAAGAGCAGCAGGGGGGTGGGGTATTTGGCATCAAAGAATCACTGGAGAAGCAAACGTGAGTGTGGGGGGTGTGGTGTGGTGTGGTGTGGTGGGAGCGTGAGTGTGGTGGAGTGCGGAGGGCAAGGGGATAAGGGAGGGTAGGGCAGGGGGGAAGTGAGTGGATCCTTGCAGAAAAAAACACAATCCGGAGAGATAAAAGTTTGTCTGATGGAGGGGTGGTGCGGAGCGGAGAGAGAAGGGATGAGAAAGGGAAGATTATGAGTTGCCGGAGGGTTATGAAGAATGGGGCGAAAGGAAGGGGAGGAGAGGGAGGGGAAGAGGAAGGAGGGGAGTGAGGAGTGGAGAGGATAGCATGACTCTGGGATGAGGAGAAGAGGGTGGGGCAGGGGAGGGGAAGCGGGACACTGAACTTTTTGCCCACCCCATCCCTCCTCCCCCCCCCCTTTCCTCCGCCCATCCCCTTCACTCTCTTTTCACCCCTGCAGGCGGGCGGCGGTGCATGAGAGCACGTTGGAGCAGATACGCAACAGGGAGTTTAACGCAGTTTTAAGTCGACTCGTAACACACCCTTCCCTCTGCCCACCCCTTCCCTCTGCCCACCCCTTCCCTCTGCCCACCCCTTCCCTCTGCCCACCCCTTCCTTCTGCCCACCCCTTCCCTCTGCCCACCCCTTCCCTCTGCCCACCCCTTCCCTCTGCCCACCCCTTCCCTCTGCCCACCCCTTCCCTCTGCCCACCCCTTCCCTCTGCCCACCCCTTCCCTCTGCCCACCCCTTCCCTCTGCCCACCCCTTCCCTCTGCCCACCCCTTCCTTCAGCCCACCCCTTCCCCTTCCTTCTGCCCACCCCTTCCCCTTCCTTCTGCCCACCCCTTCCCCTTCCTTCCGCCCACCCCTTCCCCTTCCTTCTGCCCACCCCTTCCCCTTCCTTCTGCCCACCCCTTCCCCTTCCTTCCGCCCACCCCTTCCCCTTCCTTCCGCCCACCCCTTCCCCTTCCTTCTGCCCACCCCTTCCCCTTCCTTCCGCCCACCCCTTCCCCTTCCTTCCGCCCACCCCTTCCCCTTCCTTCCGCCCACCCCTTCCCCTTCCTTCTGCCCACCCCTTCCCCTTCCTTCTGCCCACCCCTTCCTTCTGCCCACCCCTTCCCCTTCCTTCTGCCCACCCCTTCCTTCTGCCCACCCCTTCCTTCGCCCCACCCGTTCCCTCTTCCCACCCTTGCAGGCGGGCGGCCGTGCATGTGAGCACGTTGGCGCAGATACGCAACAGGCAGGGAGTTTAACGCTCTGCACCCTTCCCCCCCCCCCCAACCCTTCCCCTGCCCTCCGCCCACCCTTCCCTCCCACCACGCGTGCAGGCGGGCGGCGGTGCATGTGAGCACGTTGGAGCAGATCCGCAACAGGGAGTTTGACGCTCTACTGGAGTATGACGAGGTACGGCGCGGTGCAGTGAGGTACGTGGTGGTGCAATAGAACAACCATCTTGAATTGCATGTTCATGTTCATGTGCATGCAGCTCAACACACATGTCTTCCACCCTACCACGCTCACCCACATGCCTCTCCACCTCACCTCACCTCACCTCACCTCACTTACCAGCGAAATCACATGTGTTGGTGCTACCTCTCTCACCTCACCGCTTTACCATTTTATTCTCTACCTCTTATCTCTTACGCATTCCTCTACCTCTTACACCTCACCTGTTCACTATCCCTTATTCACAATCCCTCCTCACTACCTCCCACCTACCTCAGTTGCAGCGGGAGATTCGGGAGGGCCGTGGTTTTTACAAGTTCCAAGAGGCTCCCATCACCTTCGCGCCAACCTTCAAGGCAAGCCACCCATCGCTACATGAGATTCCGAAATAGAACAGGATTAAACCGTTCAGATTTCGTGGAGCCGGCATTTTCACGTCACGTTCCTTCATTCCTCTGTCCGCTTCTTTTTTAGTTTGTTTTTTAAATTTCTCAAAAACAACTTCATGTCACCTTCCTTCTTTATTCTTCCGCCCGCTTCTTCTCCCATTCCCAGATGCCTCGTACAAAGCGAGGCTCGCTGTTCCATTCCCCCAAGCTCCCCCTCACCCCACCCATTTGTTTCCTCCACCCCCTCCCCTCGCCTCCCCTCATCCTCTTCCCCATCCCGTGCCTCCCCCTCCCTCCCCTACCCTCCCTTCCCTCCCCCCCCTCCCTCCCCTCCCCTCCCCTCCCCTCCCCTCCCCTCCCCTCCCCTCCCCTCCCTCCCCTCCCTCCCCTCCCTCCCCTCCCCTCCCCTCCCCTCCCCTCCCTCCTCTCCCCTCCCCTCACCTCCCCTCCCCTCCCCTCCCCTCCCCTCCCTCCCTCCCCTCCCCTTCCCTCCCCTCACCTCCCCTCTTTCAAACCCTAAACCATGTCCCCCCTCATTATAGGTGATCCGCAACGAAGTGGGGCAATACAATACCAAGCGGGGCAATACAACACCAAGCGGGGCAATACAACACCAAGCGGGGCAATACAACACCAAGCGGGGCAATACAACACCAAGCGGGGCAATACAACACCAAGCGGGGCAATACAACACCAAGCGGGGCAATACAACACCAAGCGGGGCAATACAACACCAAGCGGGGCAATACAACACCAAGCGGGGCAATACAACACCAAGCGGGGCAATACAACACCAAGCGGGGCAATACAACACCAAGCGGGGCAATACAACACCAAGCGGGGCAATACAATACCAAGCGGGGCAATACAACACCAAGCGGGGCAATACAACACCAAGCGGGGCAATACAACACCAAGCGGGGCAATACAACACCAAGCGGGGCAATACAATACCAAGCGGTTACCATAAACCCTCACCTTCTCCCTTCCCTCGTATCTCTCTCCCTCCTCCACAGGTCATTCGCAACGAGGTGGGGCAATACAACGCCAAGCGGTTACCGGCGTGGTGCGACCGCATGTTGGGGCACCCGCATGTTGGGGCACCCGCATGTTGGGGCACTAACCTGTCGCCTTTACCTTCCCCTCATATCTCTCTCCCCCCACCCTCCACAGGTGATACGAAACAAAGTGGGTAAATACAACACCAAGCAGTTACCAGCGTGGCGCGACCGCAAGTTGGGGCAGTATCCCCTCCCCTCATATCTCTATCCCCCTCCCAATCACAGGTGATTCGAAACGAGGTGGGTAAATACAACGCCAAGCGGTTACCAGCGTGGTGCGACCGCATCCTCTGGCGCTCACTGTCTGGCTGCCAGCTGGCTTGCACTCGCTACGACGCCGCTCACGACGTGGGGAGCAGGTGGGGTGGGGGAATGAGGTTCATGAAGGGGTTGGGAGGGGTGGGATGAGGTTCAGGAAGGGGCTGGGAGGGGTGGGATGAGGTTCAGGAAGGGGTTGGGAGGGGTGGGATGAGGTTCAGGAACGGGTTGCGAGGGGTGGGATGAGGTTCAGGAAGGGGTTGCGAGGGGTGGGATGAGGTTCAGGAAGGGGTTGCGAGGGGTGGGATGAGGTTCAGGAAGGGGTTGCGAGGGGTGGGATGAGGTTGAGGAAGGGGTTGCGAGGGGTGGGATGAGGTTCAGGAAGGGGCTGGGAGGGGTGGGATGAGGTTCAGGAAGGGGTTGGGAGGGGTGGGATGAGGTTCAGGAAGGGTTGCGAGGGGTGGGATGAGGTTGAGGAAGGGGTTGCGAGGGGTGGGATGAGGTTGAGGAAGGGGTTGCGAGGGGTGGGATGAGGTTGAGGAAGGGGTTGCGAGGGGTGGGATGAGGTTGAGGAAGGGGTTGCGAGGGGTGGGATGAGGTTCAGGAAGGGGTTGCGAGGGGTGGGATGAGGTTCAGGAAGGGGTTGCGAGGGGTGGGATGAGGTTCAGGAAGGGGTTGCGAGGGGTGGGATGAGGTTCAGGAAGGGGTTGCGAGGGGTGGGATGAGGTTCAGGAAGGGGTTGCGAGGGGTGGGATGAGGTTCAGGAAGGGGTTGCGAGGGGTGGGATGAGGTTCAGGAAGGGGTTGCGAGGGGTGGGATGAGGTTCAGGAAGGGGTTGCGAGGGGTGGGATGAGGTTCAGGAAGGGGTTGCGAGGGGTGGGATGAGGTTCAGGAAGGGGTTGCGAGGGGTGGGATGAGGTTCAGGAAGGGGTTGCGAGGGGTGGGATGAGGTTCAGGAAGGGGTTGCGAGGGGTGGGATGAGGTTCAGGAAGGGGTTGCGAGGGGTGGGATGAGGTTCAGGAAGGGGTTGCGAGGGGTGGGATGAGGTTCAGGAAGGGGTTGCGAGGGGTGGGATGAGGTTCAGGAAGGGGTTGCGAGGGGTGGGATGAGGTTCAGGAAGGGGTTGCGAGGGGTGGGATGAGGTTGAGGAAGGGGTTGCGAGGGGTGGGATGAGGTTGAGGAAGGGGTTGCGAGGGGTGGGATGAGGTTGAGGAAGGGGTTGCGAGGGGTGGGATGAGGTTGAGGAAGGGGTTGCGAGGGGTGGGATGAGGTTGAGGAAGGGGTTGCGAGGGGTGGGATGAGGTTCAGGAAGGGGTTGCGAGGGGTGGGATGAGGTTCAGGAAGGGGTTGCGAGGGGTGGGATGAGGTTCAGGAAGGGGTGCGAGGGGTGGGATGAGGTTCAGGAAGGGGTTGCGAGGGGTGGGATGAGGTTCAGGAAGGGGTTGCGAGGGGTGGGATGAGGTTCAGGAAGGGGTTGCGAGGGGTGGGATGAGGTTCAGGAAGGGGTTGCGAGGGGTGGGATGAGGTTGAGGAAGGGGTTGCGAGGGGTGGGATGAGGTTCAGGAAGGGGTTGCGAGGGGTGGGATGAGGTTCAGGAAGGGGTTGCGAGGGGTGGGATGAGGTTCAGGAAGGGGTTGCGAGGGTGGGATGAGGTTCATGAGGTTCAGGAAGGGGTTGCGAGGGTGGGATGAGGTTCAGGAAGGGGTTGCGAGGGGTGGGATGAGGTTCAGGAAGGGGTTGCGAGGGGTGGGATGCGGTTCAGGAAGGGGTTGCGAGGGGTGGGATGAGGTTCAGGAAGGGGTTGCGAGGGGTGGGATGAGGTTCAGGAAGGGGTTGCGAGGGGTGGGATGAGGTTCAGGAAGGGGTTGCGAGGGGTGGGATGAGGTTCAGGAAGGGGTTGCGAGGGGTGGGATGAGGTTCAGGAAGGGGCTGGGAGGGGTGGGATGAGGTTCAGGAAGGGGTTGGGAGGGGTGGGATGAGGTTCAGGAAGGGGTTGGGAGGGGTGGGATGAGGTTCAGGAAGGGGTTGCGAGGGGTGGGATGAGGTTGAGGAAGGGGTTGCGAGGGGTGGGATGAGGTTCAGGAAGGGGTTGCGAGGGGTGGGATGAGGTTCAGGAAGGGGTTGCGAGGGGTGGGATGAGGTTCAGGAAGGGGTTGCGAGGGGTGGGATGAGGTTCAGGAAGGGGTTGCGAGGGGTGGGATAAGGTTCAGGAAGGGGTTGCGAGGGGTGGGATGAGGTTCAGGAAGGGGTTGCGAGGGGTGGGATGAGGTTCAGGAAGGGGCTGGGAGGGGTGGGATGAGGTTCAGGAAGGGGTTGGGAGGGGTGGGATGAGGTTCAGGAAGGGGTTGCGAGGGGTGGGATGAGGTTCAGGAAGGGGTTGCGAGGGGTGGGATGAGGTTGAGGAAGGGGTTGCGAGGGGTGGGATGAGGTTCAGGAAGGGGTTGCGAGGGGTGGGATGAGGTTGAGGAAGGGGTTGCGAGGGGTGGGATGAGGTTCAGGAAGGGGTTGCGAGGGGTGGGATGAGGTTCAGGAAGGGGTTGCGAGGGGTGGGATGAGGTTCAGGAAGGGGTTGCGAGGGGTGGGATGAGGTTGAGGAAGGGGTTGCGAGGGGTGGGATGAGGTTCAGGAAGGGGTTGCGAGGGGTGGGATGAGGTTCAGGAAGGGGTTGCGAGGGGTGGGATGAGGTTCAGGAAGGGGTTGCGAGGGGTGGGATGAGGTTCAGGAAGGGGTTGCGAGGGGTGGGATGAGGTTCAGGAAGGGGTTGCGAGGGGTGGGATGAGGTTCAGGAAGGGGTTGCGAGGGGTGGGATGAGGTTCAGGAAGGGGTTGCGAGGGGTGGGATGAGGTTGAGGAAGGGGTTGCGAGGGGTGGGATGAGGTTGAGGAAGGGGTTGCGAGGGGTGGGATGAGGTTGAGGAAGGGGTTGCGAGGGGTGGGATGAGGTTGAGGAAGGGGTTGCGAGGGGTGGGATGAGGTTGAGGAAGGGGTTGCGAGGGGTGGGATGAGGTTCAGGAAGGGGTTGCGAGGGGTGGGATGAGGTTCAGGAAGGGGCTGGGAGGGGTGGGATGAGGTTCAGGAAGGGGTTGGGAGGGGTGGGATGAGGTTCAGGAAGGGGTTGCGAGGGGTGGGATGAGGTTCAGGAAGGGGTTGCGAGGGGTGGGATGAGGTTGAGGAAGGGGTTGCGAGGGGTGGGATGAGGTTCAGGAAGGGGTTGCGAGGGGTGGGATGAGGTTCAGGAAGGGGTTGCGAGGGGTGGGATAAGGTTCAGGAAGGGGTTGCGAGGGGTGGGATGAGGTTCAGGAAGGGGTTGCGAGGGGTGGGATGAGGTTCAGGAAGGGGCTGGGAGGGGTGGGATGAGGTTCAGGAAGGGGTTGGGAGGGGTGGGATGAGGTTCAGGAAGGGGTTGCGAGGGGTGGGATGAGGTTCAGGAAGGGGTTGCGAGGGGTGGGATGAGGTTGAGGAAGGGGTTGCGAGGGGTGGGATGAGGTTCAGGAAGGGGTTGCGAGGGGTGGGATGAGGTTCAGGAAGGGGTTGCGAGGGGTGGGATGAGGTTCAGGAAGGGGTTGCGAGGGGTGGGATGAGGTTCAGGAAGGGGTTGCGAGGGGTGGGATAAGGTTCAGGAAGGGGTTGCGAGGGGTGGGATGAGGTTCAGGAAGGGGTTGCGAGGGGTGGGATGAGGTTCAGGAAGGGGCTGGGAGGGGTGGGATGAGGTTCAGGAAGGGGTTGGGAGGGGTGGGATGAGGTTCAGGAAGGGGTTGCGAGGGGTGGGATGAGGTTCAGGAAGGGGTTGCGAGGGGTGGGATGAGGTTGAGGAAGGGGTTGCGAGGGGTGGGATGAGGTTCAGGAAGGGGTTGCGAGGGGTGGGATGAGGTTGAGGAAGGGGTTGCGAGGGGTGGGATGAGGTTCAGGAAGGGGTTGCGAGGGGTGGGATGAGGTTCAGGAAGGGGTTGCGAGGGGTGGGATGAGGTTGAGGAAGGGGTTGCGAGGGGTGGGATGAGGTTGAGGAAGGGGTTGCGAGGGGTGGGATGAGGTTGAGGAAGGGGTTGCGAGGGGTGGGATGAGGTTCAGGAAGGGGTTGCGAGGGGTGGGATGAGGTTCAGGAAGGGGTTGCGAGGGGTGGGATGAGGTTCAGGAAGGGGTGCGAGGGGTGGGATGAGGTTCAGGAAGGGGTTGCGAGGGGTGGGATGAGGTTCAGGAAGGGGTTGCGAGGGGTGGGATGAGGTTCAGGAAGGGGTTGCGAGGGGTGGGATGAGGTTCAGGAAGGGGTTGCGAGGGGTGGGATGAGGTTGAGGAAGGGGTTGCGAGGGGTGGGATGAGGTTCAGGAAGGGGTTGCGAGGGGTGGGATGAGGTTCAGGAAGGGGTTGCGAGGGGTGGGATGAGGTTCAGGAAGGGGTTGCGAGGGGTGGGATGAGGTTCAGGAAGGGGTTGCGAGGGGTGGGATGAGGTTCAGGAAGGGGTTGCGAGGGGTGGGATGAGGTTCAGGAAGGGGTTGCGAGGGGTGGGATGCGGTTCAGGAAGGGGTTGCGAGGGGTGGGATGAGGTTCAGGAAGGGGTTGCGAGGGGTGGGATGAGGTTCAGGAAGGGGTTGCGAGGGGTGGGATGAGGTTCAGGAAGGGGTTGCGAGGGGTGGGATGAGGTTCAGGAAGGGGTTGCGAGGGGTGGGATGAGGTTCAGGAAGGGGCTGGGAGGGGTGGGATGAGGTTCAGGAAGGGGTTGGGAGGGGTGGGATGAGGTTCAGGAAGGGGTTGGGAGGGGTGGGATGAGGTTCAGGAAGGGGTTGCGAGGGGTGGGATGAGGTTGAGGAAGGGGTTGCGAGGGGTGGGATGAGGTTCAGGAAGGGGTTGCGAGGGGTGGGATGAGGTTCAGGAAGGGGTTGCGAGGGGTGGGATGAGGTTCAGGAAGGGGTTGCGAGGGGTGGGATGAGGTTCAGGAAGGGGTTGCGAGGGGTGGGATAAGGTTCAGGAAGGGGTTGCGAGGGGTGGGATGAGGTTCAGGAAGGGGTTGCGAGGGGTGGGATGAGGTTCAGGAAGGGGCTGGGAGGGGTGGGATGAGGTTCAGGAAGGGGTTGGGAGGGGTGGGATGAGGTTCAGGAAGGGGTTGCGAGGGGTGGGATGAGGTTCAGGAAGGGGTTGCGAGGGGTGGGATGAGGTTGAGGAAGGGGTTGCGAGGGGTGGGATGAGGTTCAGGAAGGGGTTGCGAGGGGTGGGATGAGGTTGAGGAAGGGGTTGCGAGGGGTGGGATGAGGTTCAGGAAGGGGTTGCGAGGGGTGGGATGAGGTTCAGGAAGGGGTTGCGAGGGGTGGGATGAGGTTCAGGAAGGGGTTGCGAGGGGTGGGATGAGGTTGAGGAAGGGGTTGCGAGGGGTGGGATGAGGTTCAGGAAGGGGTTGCGAGGGGTGGGATGAGGTTCAGGAAGGGGTTGCGAGGGGTGGGATGAGGTTCAGGAAGGGGTTGCGAGGGGTGGGATGAGGTTCAGGAAGGGGTTGCGAGGGGTGGGATGAGGTTCAGGAAGGGGTTGCGAGGGGTGGGATGAGGTTCAGGAAGGGGTTGCGAGGGGTGGGATGAGGTTCAGGAAGGGGTTGCGAGGGGTGGGATGAGGTTGAGGAAGGGGTTGCGAGGGGTGGGATGAGGTTGAGGAAGGGGTTGCGAGGGGTGGGATGAGGTTGAGGAAGGGGTTGCGAGGGGTGGGATGAGGTTGAGGAAGGGGTTGCGAGGGGTGGGATGAGGTTGAGGAAGGGGTTGCGAGGGGTGGGATGAGGTTCAGGAAGGGGTTGCGAGGGGTGGGATGAGGTTCAGGAAGGGGCTGGGAGGGGTGGGATGAGGTTCAGGAAGGGGTTGGGAGGGGTGGGATGAGGTTCAGGAAGGGGTTGCGAGGGGTGGGATGAGGTTCAGGAAGGGGTTGCGAGGGGTGGGATGAGGTTGAGGAAGGGGTTGCGAGGGGTGGGATGAGGTTCAGGAAGGGGTTGCGAGGGGTGGGATGAGGTTCAGGAAGGGGTTGCGAGGGGTGGGATGAGGTTCAGGAAGGGGTTGCGAGGGGTGGGATGAGGTTCAGGAAGGGGTTGCGAGGGGTGGGATGAGGTTCAGGAAGGGGTTGCGAGGGGTGGGATGAGGTTCAGGAAGGGGTTGCGAGGGGTGGGATGAGGTTCAGGAAGGGGTTGCGAGGGGTGGGATGAGGCTGAATGTGAGATTGTTGCTTCCCGGCTGCCAGCTCGCATGCACTCGATACGAAGCCTCTCACGGCGTTGGGAGCAGGGGGGGAGGTTGATGGGCTGAATGTGATAGTATAGGTGTCAGGACTGTAAGGGCGTATCCAACTTCGGGTCATCGGCACTGTTTGGGTCATCCGAGATTCTTGGAAGACCAATCAGGCGCATTTTAGTTACTCTACTCGAATACCATTGGTCCTCCCATGACCCAAAGTGTACTGATGACCCAAACAGTGCCTTATGACCCGAAGTTGGATACGTCCTAAGTAATGCGGCTGCCAGCTCGTGTGCACGTGATGCGATACAGCCCACAACAAGGTGACTTCTGAGTCGACTCAAAAGGGGCTGCAGTGATCTGCACTCCACACTCCCTCTCATTCACTCTTCTTGCTCTCCTTCGCACCCCCCCATCCCTCTCTACCCCCCACCCTTGCAGCGACCACAAGCCAGTGCTGATGCCTCGCTGGTGGCGGAGGAGGGGGCGATGGGTGCAGTGGGTGTGGTGGTACATAAGCTGCATCCAAACCGCACTAAACTCCTTCCCACTCCCTCCCACTCCTTTCGCCCTCCCTTGCAGCGACCACAAGCCAGTGCTGGCAGAATTCGAGCTGACCACGCACGCCCTGCCAGTGGGGTTGGACCCTGCTGATGCCTCACTGGTGGCGGCAGAGGAGGGGGCCGTGGGTATGGTGGCGCGCCGGCTGCACCGCAGCGCTTCCTCCCGGCATGGTGACATGCGCTGGCACATTCAGGTGCGCGTGGGGGGTAGGGATGGCATGTGCAGGTGGGCGTGGGGGGTAGGGATGGCATGTGCAGGTGCGCGTGGGGGGTAGGGATGGCATGTGCAGGTGGGCGTGGGGGGTAGGGATGGCATGTGCAGGTGCGCGTGGGGGGTAGGGATGGCATGTGCAAGTGCGCGTGGGGGGTAGGGATGGCATGTGCAGGTGCGCGTGGGGGGTAGGGATGGCATGTGCAGGTGCGCGTGGGGGGTAGGGATGGCATGTGCAGGTGGGCGTGGGGGGGAAGAGGTAAGAGGTAAGAGAGTGCGGATGGCACATGCAGGTGGGTGGGATGGTGAAAGAGGGGGATGGCACTCCCATATGAACCTCCCCTCTGCCTCTATGCCTCACCGCTCCATATCACTCGATACCACTCCGTACCACTCATCACCATCACCACTCGTCACCACTCCCCACCACCCTTCACCGTGTCCTTGCAGTTGGCATCCCTCATGGCCTCTCATCTCCTGCCAGTCCACTGTGAACCCCCTCTCCGCTTCACCACTCCACACCACCCCTTACCACTCCTCACCACTTCTTGCAGTCTGCACCCCTTATGGCCCCCACCTTCTCACCCCTCACCACTCCTCACCCCTCTCCATGCATTTTGCATCCCTCATGGGCTCTGACCTCCTGTCACTCCCATGGCCCCCAGCTTCTCACCACACACCACTCCTCACTGCTGTCCACCGCTCACCACCACCCCCCACCTTTCTCAATGCAGTTCGCATCTCTCATGGGCTCTGACCTCCTCTCAGCTGACGCAAATGGCCTCTCCGACCCGTGAGCCTCCCTCACCCCTTTGAACCCCTGTGAATGCCTGTGAACCCCTTCGTCTGTTCTTACTTACCCCTTTCGCCCACATTGCTCCCTGCCTGCCGCACGCATGTCACAGCACCCACCCTACTCTTTCCCCTTCTCCACTTCCTTCCTTCCCTTCCCCCTTCTTCCACCCATGTGTATGTATTTCACCCAAGTGCTATTTCGGCTTTCCCCTCCTCCTCCCCACCCCTCTCCCTCCACTTTTCTCCAGCTACGTGCATTTCACAAGCCCCGTTCGGCACTACAGCTGTCTGTCACACCAAGCCTTAGAGGCACCCCTTAGAGGCGCCCCAGCTACGTGCCTTTCATGGGCCCCAATCTGAAGCACACCTCTCACACCAATCCGTTCAGGCACCCCTCAACTCGCTCTTTGCTCTTATTTCTCTCAATTACGCATCCCCCCGTCCCCCCTCTTTCCTACCTCCCAGCTACGTGCGATTCACAGGACCCAATCTGCAGCACAGCTCTCACACCAAGCCGCGCTACAGGACGCTCAACCCTGTGTGGACGCAGGAGGTGAGGGAGAGTGAGCGTGCAAGTGTGAAGGTGCGAGTGTGAGGGTGCAAGTGTGCGTGTGACTGTGCGAGTGCTTGTGTGCAAAGGGTGAGTGTGCAAGTGCGAGTAGTAGTGAGTGTGGGTGCGAGTGTTAGCGAGTGAGTGAGGGAGTGAGTGAGCATGTGAATGAGTGAGAGGCATTCATCCGTTGCTCTGTGGTTTTCACAATCACTTGCCCCTCCTCCCACCACCCACTTGCCCTCAACTCAACCTCCCCACAGGACATTTCGAGCATGAGAACCTTTCCTTAGAGTCACATGAGGACTATTTGTTGGCAGTCATTGTATTTTGAGTTGACTCAAAACACATCTCTTGCCCTCATCCCCCCCTACAGGACATTTCGAGCATTGTCTTGGAGAACCTTTCCTTACAATCACATGAGAAGGACTATTTGCTGGCAGCAATTCTCGACCATGACGTCACCAACCAAGATGACCCCATAGGTGCGTGCGTTCAGTGGTAGTAGTGGCATTACATATATAATTATAAATCATATCATATCATATCATATCATCTCATCTCATAGTATATTATATCATATTATATCATATTATATTATATTATATTATATTATATTATATTATATTATATTATATTATATTATATTATATTATATTATATTATATTATATTATATTATATTATATTATATTATATTATATTATATTATATTATATTATATTATATTATATTATATTATATTATATTATATTATATTATATTATATTATATTATATTATATTATATTATATCATATTATATTATATTATACTACACTGAATTAACTTGTCTTAAACATATATTATGTTGTAACGCCCCCATGTTGTCTGTCCCAACCACCTCCTCTCCTCCCTTTGCGGCTTTCAGGTTTTTGCAGCCATCCCTTTGACCTCAGGCATGGATGCTCTGATCTGAGAGCCAATGGCCGACTTCTGAGTCGACTAAAAATGCCTTTTTCGTCTGCTTCCTTGTCGTGCTCCTCAGGTTTTGCTACCATCGCATTGGCCCCAGCCGTGCACGCCGTGAGAGCCAATGGCCGACTTCTGAGTCAGCTCTAATGATTCTACCCTTCCTGCCTCCTTGCCTTGTTGCCTTCAGGTTTTGCTACCATCGCATTGGCCCCAGCTGTGCACGCCCTGAGAGGCAACGGCCGAAGTCTTAGTTGACTCATCAAAGTCGATCTCATCTGCGTATTGCTGCTTGCAGGTCTTGCAGCGAAGCCATTGGCCCCAGCAGTGCACGCTCTGAGAGCCGACTGTATATCACCCTTTGTGGACTTTGCGGTGGAAGTTACACACAAGGGCATGCCATGCCTGCAGGGTGCCTTATCCTGTTTGCTCCCTTGTCTTGTTGCTTTCAGGTTTTGCAGCCATCCCGCTGGCCCCATCTGTGCACGCTCTAAGAGACAATGGCTCACTTTTGAATTCTCTTGACCCCCCCGAAGTATGTTCTGTCTGCCTCCCTGTCTTGTTGCTTTCAGGTTTCACAACCATCCCGCTGGCCCCAGCAGTGCACACCCTGAGAGCAAACGATTGCTCACCCTTTGTGGACTTGAACAAACTACATCCTATCTGCTTCCTTGTCTTGTTGCTTTCAGGTTTCACAACCATCCCGCTGGCCCCAGCAGTGCATGCTCTGAGAGCCAACAATGGCTCTTCCTTTGTGGACTTTAAGGTGGAAGTTACATACAAGGGCATGCCTGCAGGGCACCTTCATGGAAGCTTCCGGCTCACGTGGGCTGCAACCAAGCACCGCAGCAGCAAGTGTGCTCAAATGTGAACAGGGTGTAGATGTTCAACTAGTCGTCCATAGCAGTCGTTATGAAGAAATCAAAGTTATGGAGAAAATGAAGTTGTACAATTTGTTGGGCTGAGTGCCCCTTAGGATCTTTGGTAGGGTTAATCTCTGGGTAGAATGATGTAGTAGCGGAAGCGTTAACAAAGAGATTCTGAACCACCTTGCGCTAGTATGTGGGGGCAAAGTAAGTTGATTAAAACAAGGAGATACCATATCACCCCGGATATAAGCGCAGGCCTATGTTAAGCGCATGCGCTTATATCTGGAGCAATGCGCTTATGGCCGATCCTCGATTATAAGCGCACCCCCTGTAAAACCTTGACTTATTATAAGCGCATCAATATTTCTACAGTTCAATCCTAATTAATACAGTAACGATTTCCCTTTTGCAGCGAGTCCAAATCCGTTTCTACTTCGTTTGACTCGCTCGAGGCGAGCGATTGCAGGAGAAAGAAGCGAAACGGCGTGAAGATGACTGACTGACAGCACATCGTTGGGAGGGGGGGGGGAGGGAAGATGGGCGCTGGAAATGACTGTCCTGTGCGTTGTGCGAGAGAAAAAGGGGCAGGCGGGGGGGCTCGCGAACGACTATGCCTCTGCGCTGCGAGCAAGCGACTCCGTGCGACTGGCTCGTACATTGGTTCGGGGCGAGCTTGACACATCCCTCTGCGCTGTGACGTGTCCTCGCCCCTGTGCGGCGGCAGAAATCGCCCTCGCGCGATTCTTTGATTTGGGACGCTGTAATGTTCTGATTCGATTGAAATTGCACGACTGAGATGTACAGTTTGGTGAATTTAAAACATATTTCTGTAATTGTCATATTATAAGCGCATGCGCTTATAATTCTGACTCTATTAGAAGCGCACCCCCCTAAAAAACACTGTTTTATTATAAGCGCACCTGCGCTTTTATCCGGGGCAATACGGTACAAGATTTTATATATGATTACAAGGAATACGAAGAGATACGAATGATAACTGTTTTACTGTTGGCTGTTGCGGTTCGATACAGTGCGACTCGGGCAACTGCTCAATATCGAGTCAGTTGTGTGTCCTTGCTGTCGCGCTGCATTTGTCAAGTCAAAGGTCGCTGACCTTTGACCTTCGCATAACCTCCAGCTGTTGCTTCAACTTCCGAGGGTTGACTCGCTGGTGCCTCGATATGCGTTGCTTCGCTTGTGCCTTGGTGTTTCGACACGACAGAGGCGCTTAGGACCGATTGTTTCCAACACAATTGAGCAGACATACCGTCATCGCCCGGATAATAGACATATCTCTTATCTCGTACACTATAAAAAATGCTTGGGTTATCTTGTATTTGGGATGGTTTAGGGTGTCTTATAAGCAGACCCTACGATATCAGGATTTTTTTCCTGAAATTCCTGATTGTGAAAGTGTACTTAGGCTGATTTGCAAAGGCAACGTTATCATTTCATATGGCAGCGTTATCATTTCATATGGGTAGTAGTACATCGTTCTCGTCTTATATATGTCTACATAACAGCATACACAAATGGGTGGGCGGGTGGGAAAGTAGAACTACAATTTTGAAAATGAAAACGTGGGTGGGGACGAATGTCCCCACGTCCCTCTTTTGTAGGCAAAAGAGGGTGAGTAGCGCTTCGGCGCTACCTTTGCTGTGTTAGTCACGTACCCCTTTTCACAATACAATTTTTTAGAAAGCGTTACATTTCATTACACTTTCAAAAATTATCATATTGTGAAAGTGTACTTAGGCTGACTTGCAAAGGCAACGTTATCATTTCATATGGGTCTTCTGAGGCGAGTGCAGTCAGGGCTGGCGGTGCCGTTCGATTGATCGCTGATGCGTAGCGGGTGAGGGAGCCGTCGAAGGATCCTGCAATTTCGTGAAGAGGGAGATGAGCTGATCTTGCACGATTGTAACGTACATCTCCTTCGCGATGTCGCTGCGCCATCGGCCCATGCGTTTGAAGAGCCGGTCAGGAACTCCGAGGCTTGCCGCCGCAGTAGCTGCGCCTTTGCGGAATGAGTGGGTTCCGATGTGCGTGACATCCAGTCCAGCTTGCCTGCCGGCCTCGAGGCACCAGTTTCTGATCGTAACGTAGGATGGCGATTTGTCGTGAGTTGTGGCTTGCGAGTTCTTCGGGAAAACCCTTATCAGCGGTCCATGTGGCACCTTTGTGAGGCCTGCGATATATATGAATTTGCGTGTGCACCTCACCGGGCAGTATGGGCCTGGACTTGCCGCCACTGGGATCCAGACACCCCTCTCTTCCTGGTCCGTCTTGGAGTGCGGGATGAGCAGCCACATTGCCTTCTCCTCAAACTGTACATCATTCCATTGGAGCGAGACGAGGTCGGAGTAGCGCAAGAATGCCGAGAACATGAGAAGAGGAATCAATCCTTTCTGGTATTCCGCAGGAATTGATGATTCCAGGAAGGGACGAGCCATGTTGTGCACTTGATGGAGAGATATGGACTCTTTGGTCCTTGTAGGCCGGGGACCATGTCTCTTGGCGAGCTCCCGCACTTGCAGGGTGAATGGGCCGGCGGTAGGGGAGGTTTCACCGGTCATGCGGTGGGCGAAGGCAACTGCCGAACACGTGAGGTTGATCGCGGAGAGACTTGCTTTGTTGTTGAGCGCATGGATGAGATACAGCGCTAGCGTCAGGTCGGTTGCCGGCAAGAACTCGAGCTTAATTTGGGTACAGAAGGTGCAAAATCTCTGCCAATAAGGTTGGTACGTCTCGATTGTAGATGGTGCGCGAACATGGCTAATTACGTGCATCAATTGTTGCTGTAGTCTGGCCAAAAATCCTGACATGACACATTGAGAAATTTTGATTAGACCGCATAGTTTACACGCAAAGAAATGATTGGGCTATGAGGCAATCCGAGACCAGAGAATGCAGTGGTGTGTGAACCTGCCTGAAGACATTGATTGCCTTGGGCAAGGGAAAGGTGCTCTACTACTGCCGGAGCCCACGATTGAGTGGACGGTTGGAGAAGCGGCCACCATGACGCTCCGGTCCACTGGGGAACGACGAGCATGAGTCTTGTCTGCGCCAGTTCCGCATGGCGGAGTGTAGCGGGAATTAAGTGTGGAGGCGGGAAGGCAAGGCATCGCTCGCCTTTCCACGAGATGGAAAATGCGTCAACAGCGAACGCGTCCGGGTGCGGTATCTTAGAGCAGAAGCGCTGAACATGATTGTTCCGAACGTTAGTAAAGAGATCAATTGTGTGGGGCCCCCAACGGCGTTTCAAGAGGCGAAACCAAGGTGCGTGTAGGGAGTAGTCATCGAAATCTTGCATCTTGGATAGGTCATCCGCATGGACGTTGAGCTCTCTCGGAATCCATTTGATCGCGAGGCGTGTTGTGTTGCCGAGGCGGAACTGGATGATCGCTTGGCATGTCAACGTAAGATCCGCCTGACAGGATCCCCCCTTGTGCAAGATAAATATGACTGCCTGGTTGTCCACGCGGACGAGGACGTGAGCAACCACGATCCGAGTCGCGAACGTCCGCAGTGCCCAGAGCACTCCCTCGAGCTCTCGCCGCGTACTGGATGTGGTGAGAAGCCCTCGTGGCATGCACTCGCTTCCTTCGCATGATGTACTTGGGAACTTGGCCAAGGTGGCACCCCAGCTGTGTGCGCTTGCGTCGACGTGTATCACGGCATCAAAACGCTGACTCTGGTGGAATGGGGCGCCATTGAAACGATCGAAGTGCATTTTCCAAAACAACAGCTCTTTTGTCGCTCGTGGTGACAATAGAACCTTTGAGTTCCATGACCACGCGGAGTCGATCAAGTGCAGCAGCTCATGGCTGAAGGCACGCGCCGTCAAGCCCAGCGCGAGCGACATGGAGCTGAGAAATCCAGTGATCCGAGCTAACTTGCGAATCGACACGTGGCGACCCGACTGCCCTTTTTGTATAAGTAGGTGGAGCTCATGCAGTAGTTGTTCGCGCCGATCTTTTCCGACGAGAAACATCCCTCATTCCGTGTCAAGCTCCATCCCCAAAAAGGGCAAGTGGTGTGCGGGATGCAGGTGTGATTTTTTAGAATTTATCACGAATCCTGCCGCCTTTAGGTCGTGGAGAACTTCGATGCACGTCGAACGGGCTTGCGCCTCGGAGTCGCAGAGGAATAGTAGATCGTCCACGTATGGTATTAAGCGCACTCCGCGCGCGCCATCTCTTGGCAAGTTGCTTAATAAGCTGGGTGAAGACGAACGGGGCTGTTGCCAGGCCGAAAGGTAAGGATGTGAAGCAATAGAACTTTCCACCCAATTGAAAGCCCAAAAACTTCCAGCACGACGGGTGGATATCGACGTGGTGGTAGCCTGACTTGAGATCGATTGTGAACATCCCGTCGTTTGGGCGAATAATCTCCGCGACCCGACTCAAGCCCTCGTACTTGAACTTGGGAACTTGGAGGTGAGCGTTGACCTTCCGCAGGTCAAGGATAAGCCGACATTTGTCTCGTAGCTCCACAACGTTGAGCGGGCTGATGCACGTAAGTGCGGCTTGCGACGAGACATACATCGCGACGCCGGACGCGATGAGGTCGCTGACAGCATCTTGGGTGAATGCCATGTGTGCTTGAACCCCTGCGTGATTAGGAGCTTCGAAGGGGAGAGGCTCCGCGCCCTTCCATGGTAGCCAGTATCTTTTGGCAATGATGGAAAGGATAAGACTGCTGTCGCACCATGATAACCACCAGTGGTTGTTGCGCAATCGCATTCGCATGATGGACACCATGTTGTCCGTTATTGCGTGCTCGTATGGGTTCCAGTGAGCACTCTGCCACTCGCCTTCCACTTCTGCAATTGGTGGGCAACCGAGGTTGTGGGGGGGGAACGAGGATCAAGGTAGATTAGCCGCGAGATATCGCGAGACGCTTTGCGGGGTAAACTTGACAAAGTTTGAAGAAAGAAAGAGGATTGAACTAGCAAGAATGAGGATACAAATAGCAAACCCTAGAAGGGTTGTACTCGTTATAGAGCACCCCACTACAGGCTAGAACAATAAGATAATATTCTGACAAAACTATGTCGCTCATCTTCTACCGCCTTCGCGCCTCCCTGCACCCTCGGTTTTTTTTTTTTCTTCTTCTTTTTTCTTTTTTCTAACTCTTCCCTTGAGCACTCATCAGCTTTGACACCCTTGCAAAGGGGCTTTGCTTTTTTTTTTTTTTTTTTTTTTTTTTAGATTGCCTTACAATGAGATCGGCGCATGTGCGTCACTAGGTCCCATGACCTTGTTCATCACGATCTCTTCGTGCCTTCTCTCTCTCTCTCTCTCTCTCTCTCTCTCTCTCCCTCTCTCTCTCTCTCTCTCTCTCTCTCTCTCTCTCTCTCTCTCTCTCTCTCTCTCGCTCGCTCTCTCTCTCTCTCTCTCTCGCACTCCCTCTCGCACTCGCTCTCCCTCGCTCTCTCGCTCTTTCTTTCTTTCTCTCTCTCTCTCCCTCTCTCTTGCTCTCTCTCTCTCTCTCTCTCTCTCTCTCTCTCTCTTTGTATCTCTCTCTCTCTTTCTCTCTCTCTTTCTCTCTCTCTCTCTCTCTCTCTCTCTCTCTCTCTCTCTCTTTCTCTCTCTTGGTCTCTCTCTCTCTCTCTCGCACTCCCTCTCGCACTCGCTCTCCCTCGCTCTCTCGCTCTCTCTTTCTTTCTCTCTCTCTCTCTCTCTCTCTCTCTCTCTCTCTCTCTCTCTCTCTCTCTCTCTCTCTTTCTCTCTCCCTCTCTCCCCCTCTCTCTTGCTCTCCCTTCCTCTCTCTTTAGCCTCTCCCTCATTCCATGGTTTTTGTTTTTTTTTTTTGTAATAACAATATTGTTTTATTGATCCACACAAAGGCATACAAGCCTAGGCCTGCACCATAACCAGCCCCAACGGCTGCCATCTTGTCCTAGCCCCCATGGCCTATGCTACTCTCAAAGGCTTCTAACCAGCCTACGCACCACCGGTGCATCCACCTACGCCCCTCGGCATAGTGGCAAGGGGCGCCGCCCCATAGGTCCTCTCACACCACGGGTGCGGGACCTTGTGCGCCACGCCCTCCCATAGGGCAATCGTTTGCCATATGGCCGGGCTAGCCGCAACGGAAACACACCCCCTTGAAGCGGGGCTCGTGGCAGCCCGCGGGCGGCATGCCTTTGCTTTCCGGTTCGCCGTCTCGAGGGGGAAGGCGGCCTCCGCGGGCGAAGCCGGTACGTGCACGCTTGAGGGCCGCCACGTCGGCTACCGCAAGCTTGTAGGAGCGGGACGTGAGCACGCTCTTGGCTTGGTACAGCTGGAACCGATCCGCCACTTCGAAACCGGCCTCATCCGCCACCAAGAGCACCTCGAAACGTTTGTTGATCAACGTTTCGACTTGCTCCACGCTGGAGAGCGTGCCCTCGACGTCGCCGTATTGGAGCTTGAACTCGACGGGCCTCAGGTGAGCTTGAATTGCAAAGAACACCTCCGCCTGGTCACACACTCCCTTGCGCATGAAGGTAGTAGCTGCGGGTGTGGGGTTGAGGGGGGAAAGGGGAGGTGCGGGTGCGAGAATGCGACGACGAGCAAGGTTGTCGGGGGCCTCACCGTCTTCATTTTCTGAGTCGTCGCTGTCGTCGGGGATACGGGCTTGGGTTGGTGCCGGAGCCGGGGCGGGAGCAGGAGCAGCGTTGTTGGTGCGAGCGATTTTGGTGGAGCGGGGGGCCGCGACAGGTTCCTTCTGCTTTTCGATTTTAGCGGAAGCGGAAATTTCTTCGGTTGATGTAGTTGCTGTCGATGGTGCGTGCTGCTGCAATAACGAGAGCAGCGCCTACAGCTGCTGCGCAGTCAAAGGGGGGGGGTGCGTTGACCGGGGTGACGTCCGCGGAGGGTGCCGCGCGCTGGCGTTTCTGGGTCGTGGGCCCGGATGGACCCGCGTCAGTGCCGGTCAAGACGGCCGCCGCGTCAGCGGCGGTCGTCGTCTTCGGCGCAGCACGCGCGTGCCTGCCAGGCACGCGCTCTTCAGCAGCAGCCACGCGCGACTGTACAACAGTCGCGCGTTCCTCATGGGGGGGTCCGAAGGGTGCCTCCGAGCAGGAGGTCGACCGCCGAGGGTCCCTTGCTTGAAATTTCTTTGGCGGGACGTTTTCCGCCGCGACGATCCGTTGTCCCGGCTGGGGTCGAGGTTTCCGCCGCATTACCGGGGCTAGAAATATTCGAGTTGTCGCGGTTAAGTGCCAGGTTGACCGGAGCCATCGTTGCGAGGTTGCGCTTAAGGATGTAGTTAAGGACCGTTGACGGGGCAGTGAAGCGCGGAAGCGACTGAGTCTTCACCAATGTGGACGAGAACGAAAGTAGAACTACAATTTTGAAAATGAAAACGTGGGTGGGGACGAATGTCCCCACGTCCCTCTTTTGTAGGCAAAAGAGGGTGAGTAGCGCTTCGGCGCTACTTTTGCTGTGCTGGCCACGTACCCCTTTTCACAACACAAAATTTTAGAAAGTGTTACATTTCATTACACTTTCAAAAATTATCATTTTTAGAAAGTGTTACACACTTTCAAAAAAATATATTGAGAAAGCTTGCTTTTTGTTCTTGCAAATGCAACATGCTTCATTACAGTTGCAGTGATTACATAATTCTCGTCCAACCTAATTATAGATTTTACAAGTATACGACTAGGGTGGGTGGGTGGGTGGGGAATGGAACTGCAAAGTTCCGAAATGAAGACATGGGTGGAGGCCAAAAGGCCTCCAACCCTCGTTATGTACTCGGCGAATAGTAATTCGCCGTTGCCTTGCTTCGCTACAGTAAGCTGCGCTTTCACAATACACAATTTTAGAGAGTGTTACACACTTTAAAAAAAAATCATATTGAGAAAGCTTGCTTTCTGTTCTTGCAAAAGCAACGTGCTTCATTACAGTTGGGTTTACTCAGACATGTGTAGTTAGGAGCGTTGAAGACGTGTTGAGTCTTGTTGAGGTTGATGGCCTCGACGAATTGTTGAGAGATGTGGCGTTGGTTGGTTGTGATGCGATCGCCATGCCGTTGAGTTTCGGAATGTTGTGTATGACGGTTGCTCGTTCCATTGATGTAAATGTCCCGGGTTGTTGGTGCAGCATAAGAGTGTGGTTGAAACTGGTGGTTGATGTTAGCTGTTGAGGGCGTGGATGTTTGACGTCTCCCGATGATGCCGCGTGATTGACGTGTGGATGACAGAGCGAAATCGCATTCAAATGATTTTTGTATGACGGAGTTAGCATAAGTGACTGCTCTAGAATTATTTTCAAGAGCTGCTTTTTACGTTCGCGATTCTCCACGAGAGCACACGAGAGGCCAAGATTGCCAATGAAGCCTCACGACTAGCATACGATCGTCAGAATGAAATCACCAAGTGGATTAGCAGGCGGGATGGCTTGGGATGGGCGCATGTGGCGCGAGAACTGCGCTAGGAGGAGTGTGACCGCAGAGGTACCGGTATGGCTTTTTATTACCATTAGGGACTTTGAGAAGTTCATCAGATGGTGAATGATCGTGCGGTACGTACCGTATGAATGAGCAATAAAGACCCGTACAAGAATAAATGTTCCAGCCAGGATACTTTTACAGAACTGCGTACTATGTACACATCACACCTAGAATCAATCATGAGTAGGTCATCTAATGTGGGAGTTCCATAAACATCACAACAAGGCAGAAATAAGTGATCACAAGCAACACTACCCCGACTCTAACTTGGATGGCTTTAATTTCATGCCAGTGTCGGGTCGCGTCGTCAGAATTCACGATACTGCTGTCCCTTTGCACTGTAATGTCTGTTTTGTGTTCAAAACCTTCCTGTTTGAGCAGGTGTATCTCCGTTCCTTGTTTGAGTCAAGGGCAGCATATTAAAGCCTTAAATCCATTGTAGATTCATTTCGATAAGGGCAATCGTTTCTCAAGCCATGTTCAAGGTGGTTTGTAACCAAGGCTTTCAATTCGAGCCAGGCCCTCAGATGTCAGCCTAAAACACGCTGATTACGCTGATTCTGTAGCTCTGAATTTCGTTTTCCCTGAAAAATCAGTAAATGCTTCCATTTTGGGCTGAAATTTCAGTAAATGTGAGTTTGCCACACTGACGGTTTTGTGTGTTTCTGAACGAGTTACACTGAGGAATCAGTATACCTCAGTGCGTCACCCTGAAACGGATTTGACCGGCCGGGGGAAAGGGGGGGGGGGGGGGGGGGGGGGGGCGACGCGTGTACAGGCTGTTCCTTCGCGTGATTCACGAAACCCCACACACACTTGGAATCTTCTCACATGCGCTGTATTTACAGCTAGTGCGCGCCGGACCGTTTTGCCGCGCTGGAAGCCAGAATACTAGAGAACGGCTAACCTAGTTCACAACTGCCCAATGAGAACACAGACAACACACCACTGGTGGCAGGGTCCACGCCAACACGCCAGGGATGGCAGAGTGGAGTGGGGGTGTTGTCATCTTGCCTGGGAAGACGGAAACCCTGGCCTGGACCAAGATCCCTCGTCATCGCAGCTCGGGAGAGGGGGTACCCCCATCTGCTCCCTCATTCTGTTCCTGCACTCCTCGTGAACCCCTGCAGGAAGTGATGTTCGAGCTGAAGCAGGAGTAGCTTCTCCCTCAAGCTCGGCATGCTCTGCAGCGCTGAGCAGCCATGGCGGTTTCGACGCCCGCAGGTGACGGCCCTCCGCCCGTCGCAGGCACGAGGCCAGCCGCTATTACTGGCTTAGACTTTTTACGACGCGTTCACGCTGCTCCCGCGTTAGTCCCGCCGCCAGCTCAAGCCGTGCCGTTCCCTTCCACTGGCCCCGAGGCACCTACCATCTGGACGCAGGGCGAGTGTTCGACGCATGTAGGCGCTGCCGCTTCACCTCCTGTCGCTGCTGCATCAACTCGTGTCACTGCCGCATCAACGCCTGTCGCTGCCGCATCAACGCCTGTCGCTGCCGCATCAACTCCTGACGCTGTCGGATCTACACCTGCCGCTCCCGAACCCACACGGAACCGTCAACCTGTCGCTGCCGGAACTACTCGGCAAGGTCCTCGTCTTAACAGGGGTATTAAAGTGAGGTACCACCAGACCAAGATCGGGTGGGGTTCCAGTCAAGCTACACCAACGTCCGGTGTGGGTAACTCTTCCCTGAAGGCCCGTCAGCGTAAAATGAAGGGGAAAGCGGTTGAGGTGTCTTCCGATACAGAACTGCCCGACATTGCCGAGGAGAAATACCAAGAGGCTTTAGCTATGTTTAACAAACAATGGTCTGACGACTACCCGTGGCTTGTACTGCTGCAGAATAAAGCAGGGTTCCCGTCAATCAAGTGCAAGGTCTGCATTGCGCACGCCGGTACGGGGACGAACTTCGGCGCCAAAGGAGAAGGGGCGACCGATGTTCAGACTCAGGCGATGCGGAAGCATCAGCGCACAAGGAAGCACTGCCGCGCTGTGCGCAGACAGAAGACAACCGAGGCGGCTCTCAAAGCAAATGCCCGTATTGACGACAACCCGAATGTGAAAGACGTGGAGAAGGAGCGCCTGCTCGCGCTGTTTCAGACGGCGCTCTTCATCGCTAAGTCCGACGCCCCGATCGAGATGTACGTGGACCTCGTCCAACACCTGGCGCAGCGTGGCACCCCGGGCTTCCCAAAGAACACTTATGGTGCGTACTATACGACGTAAGTGACACTGCTCTTGTTCAACTGGCAGCGGGTTGTGATGTACTTGCAGCTATCTCTGACCCCACCCGTTGATTCCCGTGCAGGTACGGATTCGAGGAGATAACCGCCGCAATAGCGACATACCTTCGTGCGCGCCAGAGAGAATTCATCAACTCGAGTCCATTTATTGGTCTGACCTGCGACGAGAGTACGGACCGCGTCAAAGGCAAGCACATGATTGTGTTTGCAACCTTTCTACGTGAGCACGCCGTCACCACAGAGTTCCTAACTAACCTCT